TTTGGACTCTATCAATTGTAAAACTCGTTGGCGACCAATTTTGTTCCAAAATACGTACGGTTCTGATGTACCCGTCACCATTCTTGGCTCGCTGCATAGAAAAATTGGACGGAATTTTATTCTAGATAGAAAATAAATAATTTCTGCAGGTTAATTACTTACTTTTGGAAACAATCGAATAGTATGTGACTTCGTTCATTTACCAAGCAAGCCCATATATCCATTACAACCAAAAACTTCCCCTCTTTTTTGATGAATTGGTTAAAACGTTCCAACTTAGTTTTAACTTGTTTGTCGTGTGCAAAGTTCGCAAGTGGGGCCAACGTCGTTAAAATCGGGGTGTACCCTTTTTTGAACATTAAGTTGATGAGCTCACGGAAGTCATGCTCTATTTGCACTAACGGACGGCCCTTCATAATATCCACAGATCCGATGTTAACAATAATGCTTTTACATTGATCTTCTAATTGTCGAACTCGCTTAATTGCACCGCAAATAGTTTGTCCGGATACACAAAGTCCGCTTTGTAGCACTTTCTCGTCTGTAATAAATCATGTTACAGTTTTAAAATAGTTTCTAGAAAATTAACAATTTGTTCATATGTATCTAGAAGGTATAGTGGTCCAAAAAAAATTTGTCCGACTTAGGGTTGAAGTCACATTCCAGGGCTGGGATGAAATAACACAAACGGCAATAACGCAAAATTTGCTTTATTTCACTTTTAAATGGGAAATAATACCAAAATCAGAGTGTGAGAGAATTTTGCCTTATTTCCCATTGCTTATTTATACATAGTCTGTTCCTTTAAACTTCGGACTAAAACCTGTGGAACTGGCAAACTACAATTTTACGCTCTCAAATGAGAGTAAAAGGAGAACATATGCAGCAGTGCATAGGAACGCAAAAAGCACTCTTTCCTGTAAAAACGTCAGTCGGTTTGTTTACATGTCATTTGTACAACACTGATTTGGCTGAAATATCACTAACTAATTATTAAAATGTGTACATATTCAAATATTTCGTTGTTTACCTCCATTTTTTTTACAAATATAAGGTTCTTTGCTTTCACCGCTGTTTGTTTTTGCTTGCACATGCAAATCAGCTGATCGTTTGACACTTTTCATAAACTTACAGGAAAAAAACACCGGAATAAATCCTGTAACTTCTGACTAGGAACAAGTGCTCAGTTACACTCTCAAATGTTTTCCCACTTACAGGTTTTATGTCAATAGGACCGACTTCCTGTAAGTTCTGATTAAATCCTGTTAGCCGGACTGCTATTGGAACAGACTAACTATTTGTAACAAAAACAGTTTACTGACCAGAAGGAAAAATAACTTTGTTTATTAAAAACAAGTAAGAAAGTCTAAGTTCGGGCGGAGCCGAACATTAAATACCCGGCGCAAGTATTAAATATATGTTTTCCACCTGTCCGAAAGCTACCGCTACATGATAAGCCGGCGTGTATAAATTTTAAGTAAACTAGCGTCCTTAAATTTCAAAATATTGAAATTTCAAGCATTTCTGAAATTTACCGTTATATGAAAAGCGGCCGTAATTTTAGTCCGATTTCAACAATTTTCAATGGTTTACTTTTATGTGGCAAGCACAATAACCATACCGAGTTTGGTACAAATTGCTAGAACGGTTAGCGAGATACATATACGTGATCATAAGTGGGCGGTGCCACGCCCATTTTCCAAAATTTTATCATAAACGTATTTCCTGGCAAAGAATT